TCCTTTACCTGGCCATATGAGCAGCAGGATTTATTAACAATAAATTGACTGTTTTAATATTGGGTATTATTATAATATTGGGTATTATTTTAAGGTTTTTAATGTGGTTCTAAAGTTTTAATATTTCTGTACGCCGCTCAGAGACCATTGATAATGGTGTGGCTAAAAATGTTTGTGTGTGAGAATAAACAACTAAACAAATAAACAAATAAACCAACCAACCAACCAACCGAAATTATTAACAGGCAAGTAAAGACTGTGAAAAATTGGAGTGCACCTGGACCAGATGAGCTGCACAGATTTTGGTTAAAGCATGTAACCAGTCTCCAGCAATGCACAGCAGTGCAATTTACCACTTCAAAATTCTACAACTGAATACTGGATGGCAACAGGTTGCACATTTCTGATAATAAAACATTATCAAAAAGGGCAATGAACCTACTAAGTATTCACCAATTACATGCCTTCCAACAATGTTCAAGCTCCTCACAGGAGTACTTGCAAGATTAATATATAATTACTCAGCTGAAAATTCCCTATATCCAACTGAACAGAAAGGGAACTTTAAAAAGTCAAGAGGCACAAAAGATCATCTACTTACTGATAAAATAATACTGAAGAATGCAAAAAGATGAAAAATAAACCTTAACATGCCTGGATAGACTATTAAAAAGCATTTGACTCATTGCCACATAGATGAATTAACACTTGCCTAAAAACTTTTGGGATTACCGGTAGTAAAAACATTCAGAAATTCCTCAAGGAAAACATGGAAACATGGAAAACTGTCTTAATGGCCCATGGTGAAGAAACTGGGGAAGTTAGCATCAAAAGAAGAATATTTCAGGGGGATTCTTTGTCACCGTTGTTGTTTAACATCTCACACACTTCAAGAGCAAATCTAAGTCAGTTCCTGGCTGACATCACCTGTATTAAAAGGCTGGAACTTTGAGGAGCGTTTAATACTATTTATATGTCTGTCTGCTTGTTAGGTTACGTTTATATTCCACATTTTCTTTAGTGAGTTTAAGGTGACTATCCTTCTCTCCACTTTATCTTTACAACAACCCCCCCTCTCTGCTGAGTGTTCCATCCCTGTTTTCATTGGCCGGTGGCAGTTGCTTGTTGCTGTTGGTCAATTTGTTTGGTTGCTAGTATATGTACAAGAAAGAAAGCAGTATACACAAGTCTGTAATTTCAAGCAATTGTAAGTAAAGAATGTTTGTTGTTTTACTCTTTCAAATGCCTCAGAGTTAGTTACTGAGACTTTAAGTACAGTTAATGAGAAAGAGGTGGATTCTGGGGAACTTGTAGCTGCTATCCTTTGTGGATCTCTGTACTTATACTGTGTAGCATTATAACCCTGTAACAGTTAATGATAAAATATTTTGGAGATCATTCATTCTGGGTGTCACCATTGGTTAGAGGCCGATCGCTGACACATAACAGCAACCATAGTGTGTACACTACTAAAGACTTCTTAGGGACATGGCGGCGCTGTGGGCTAAACCGCAGAAGCCTGTGCTGCAGGGTCAGAAGACCAAGCAGTCGTAAGATCGGATCCATGCAATAGAGGGAGCTCCCGTCGCTTGTCCCAGCTCCCACCAACCTAGCAGTTCGAAAGCATGAAAATGCAAGTAGATTAATAGGGACCACCTCAGTGGGAAGGTAACAGCGTTCCGTGTCTAAGTCGCACTAGCCATGTGACCACGGAAGATTGTCCTCGGACAAAACACTGGCTTTATGGCTTGGAAACGGGGATGAGCACCGCCCCCTAGAGTCGAACACGACTGGACAAAAATTGTCAAGGGGAACCTTTACCTTTACCTAAAGACTTCTTACTTTACAGTAGGACTGCACTGGCAAGGAATAGTGAAATTTAAGATAATGGCCTAAATTCAATTGCTATACCTAATTAGAGCAGATCCACTGAATCAATGGATTTTACAAAAAGGTTGACCTAGCCAAATTCCCATTCAGTGTGTCGATTCTAGTTGAGTCTACAAGGTAGATTTGAGAGGCAATATTTATGCATGATCTTATGAGAGGAATCTGATCTCCAAGCTGCCATTTAGAACAAGCAAACTGAAACTTTTTATGTGTGGTTTATCAAATCAATCTCAAAATAAACAACTATTTATTGAGAACCACTTCAAGGGTATTTAGTTCTTTTGAATCGCCTGTTAATCTACAATCTTCAATTTAAAAAATCTTCAACTAAGATCAGGACTTGCAGGTCCTAAGTACTTTGCTGGCTCCCGAACACTTCAAGGAGATTTGTTAAAGCCTGCTGTAAACAACCCTGAGCCTAAATTCCAGGTTATCAAAACTGTGTGGGAACAACAGTTTACAAGGATGGACTGTGTATGATTTGGGGGGGATTGGGACTGTGAGAAGAGACATGGTGACTCTATTAATTAAATTCAACCCCAAGGATTGAATTTGCCCCCAAGGGGAAAAATAATAAGGCCAATAAAATAAAGCTCTGGAAGTTTGTTGCTACCTGTTGAAACTATTATTAAGGCAATGATCCCAACCTTGATTAATTTCAGGTTTTTAGTTTGATGTGCATGTACAAACCCATTCATAGGAAGACTGGAATTCTTACCAGTTGTAGGGAGGGCAGGTTTGCAAAGATACCACAATCTTTACCTCTGGTTCCCAACCATTGGTCTACACATGTTACTGTATTGCACCCTGCCACAGTTCAGACCCTTGGGGATGCTTCCTGGAGACTTGGGGTACTGAGATCCAACAACAGCTGGGACCCACCATTGGCACCAACTACATCTCTTTCAATTGGAGCTTGGAAAATGTAATTGTGCAGTGATAGTTCCCAGAATTCCCATCTAAGACAGCCACTGACCACAGGAGAATTGGAGGTCAACCACAAAGCCATGTTTCTAAGCTCTATCCCAAAGAATCATCCTCTTGTAACTACAAATTTCTTGTTCTACTTTCTCCACAGGCATTGAAGTTTAGATACAACCTTGTCTTCACACTAAAGTGGTAATCTGATGCCAAATTTTTTATAATCTCCTTGATTCTGAAGTTGTGCAATAAAGTCTTTGGTGGTGTGCAACCTGAATCTAAACTGTGAAAACTGATGGATGCTCCAGAGGCAGCCAAAGGGTTTCAAAAGCTGTCATTCCTAATCAGCAGTCTAAATCTGCATATTAGTATTGTCCCTTAGGAACCAGCTGTTTGCCTAGTCAGGTAATCTGTTTCACTGGTCACTATGTTGATGAGAAGTGCCTCTCCAGGAGTCACGTTATACATTACACACAAAACATCATCAATCCCTGAAATCAGCAGTCCCTAAACTACTTGGCATCATGCCCACACTTTGATTATTAATAAATGCTCATGCATCCCCAGCTCTCCCTTAATTTTTAACAAAAATAGAATGAAGTAGTAAATGATCAGTTTGTAGGTTTAAATTAAATATAAGTGTAATACCTTAGCAAAAACGTTTTACAATAAAAATAAGCACATATAGTTTTGATTGTAAAATTCAGTGTACCTTAAGCAATAGCAGAAGCAAAACAAATTTAATGTGAAAGATGATGCTGCATCTCCCAGTCTTGCAGCACCTTGAAATTTCTTCACACCCACCCGGGTTAGAAATCAATGTGTTCGTATTCCACAGACAAAATTCAGGAAAACCTTCAGGACTGAGCACTTCTAGAAAGTCCATGTTTAAGTTCACAAGACCGATCACAGATTAAACCAAGCTAATGTGCGGGTTTATTTATTATTTATTTATATAAACTATGTTCACCCCCCCGCCTTTCTCCTCAAAAGGACCCAAACTCTGGATGGTGTGAAAATCTGTGTTGACAACCAAACCCCTTTCAGTACATGAGGAACTCCATTCTCTGCTAATGGTTTTTAGGCACAAATCTTCCTTCACACTGTTTGGGGATGTGGGGGAATAACCTTGGAATTATTTGTAAGCAAGTTCTCTGCCACTGCATTATGAGACTAATGCCATCCATATTGTAAATAAATCGGAGCCCTAAAGGCATCTGGGCTTCTGCCAGTGAGACGGATGAAACTTTTTAAAAAATATATGTTAGTTAATTCCTATGAGCAGGAAATCAGATAAATCCGTGTAGCACCAAACAGAACATTAGACACCCAGGCCACTCAACTGAGATTAGTAGTGTGGCTTTACTCAACACTGCTGATAAGATGAGGAGTATATGTACGTTCCCCTCTTTGAGGGAATATAGGAAGCTGCCTAATACGACATCAAATCATGGGTGGGAGAAGATACACAGGGCTCTTCACAATTCATTCACACCACTGCTGCTGCCTGAATGAATTTTGCTGGCATGGCAGTGTAGAAAACGCATGTCTTGATCTGACACTGCTGCTGCACTGCAGTCTTTCAGCAGTGCGTTGGCAGTAGGAAAAGTTACACTTTAATTTTATTTATGCACTGCCCAACTAGTGGATACATACTACTCTGGGCACTGTACAGTGTAAAACACAAGTCACTCAACCTACCCCCAGCTCCACTCCCATAGATCAGTTTGCTTTGAAAAAGTAGCACCCAAGCAGCACAGACCTTAATCTAGAGCCAAGACATGCTCCTGCCTTAAAATAAGGTATGCACTTCTGTACACCTTGTTTTTAAAGACACACTCAGAGTTCCTTTGCCTTTTGTGCTATCAAGGTCAGGTCATCTCACTAGTGGGGGACAAAAAGAGTAGAGTGGGGACAGGGGGGAAAGGCTTCCAAATGCATTAGCATGGAGGCCAGATGTTACCCATCCTTGATCTAGTTCATCATTGTATAACACCAACTGGCTGCAGCTTTCCAGGACTGCTACAGAAGATGTTCCCAGCCTTAAGGTTAAGTGCTGGACCATTGGATCTGGAATGTTCTGCATACAAAGTATGGGTTATGATCCATTCCCCCTCAAGGAATGCTTATTCAACTTTTAGATAACAGATCATAAGCACAGGGAGGCGCACACTGTAATGTCATATTACCTATTGCATCAGGAATGAAAAAGTTGTAACCAAGAAGACTGTAGTGAAGCACAGACGGAATAATCCCTTTTAAACCTGCATAGCTCCAGTCAGAGTGACGTGGGTTCATTTGGAGAAAGACTGGCAGGTGGCTAGTTCTAAAGAAAAAAATCAAGCAGGTGAGCAGTAAAATTACAGACAATAATCACTCCAGGGAAAGATGCAGTGTTGCAATAAGGCACCAAACAGTATAAAGACATTGATCTATGGTGGTGCCTGGCTATACTTTCAATATGCAAAGCCTAGAAAAGTTAATTTTTTGGACAACAGCTTCCAGAATCCTCCGCAAACATAGCCACTGTTCCCACTGAATCCTCAATCAACATGATTAAGCATTGATGAATAGGAATGTGATCACTCCAAATTGATCATTAATTAATAATTCCCCTTCCAAATTATTGCATTGGTGCTGAGCCATGATGCAAAGGAACAGATCATAGTATTAGAAAAGTGAGTGGTCTGAAAACAAAACCAGTGCAGTAACACACTCAACTCTTGATTGAATCTGATAGCCATTTCCTTCTGCAGAAAAAGGAAGACAGGCCTCTGTGGCCTTTCATGACCCTTTCCTCACTCTATGGCACAGCTGCATATTTAAAGCAGTGCAAGACAACAGAGTTATCACATCATTAGAAACAGAGCTGCCTTTAGGGGTTAAATTTGTTTGTTTAGCCTGGCTTAAGGTTTCTCAGATCCTAAATCACTGCAAATTAACTTGCTTTTGTTTCCTGATTTGTCACTGAGAGAATATCAGGCGCTCCTTCTGCCAGGTGGCACCTTTGAAAGATCACAGGGAAAATATATTAGCACTAATTGTGAGCTAGTGTCTTATCTAGTTACCAGCCCTGGTTATTCAGGAAAGGAACTGTGTGCCTGACAAGATAATGTTGAAGTAGCTGGAAATACACATTCACTGTAATGTGTAAGTTGGCTTTTAAATTACAAGCACTTTGAGACTCTTGTCTACCCATATTAAGAGCAATAAAAGAACAAAGCTAGATCAGTTTTGTTTACAAAATTTCCCCTTTGAGACTAACCTTGTGCCAGCACTAATTATTGATGAATTTCCAAGTGCAGCTGCCATCAAAGTTAAAATGTGGAGGTATTTTTCTCCTCTGAGTTTTGTGGGGGCTGGAATGGCTTGCTCCATAAATAAATTGCCTTCACCACCTTCAAAGACCACATACTCTGCTCCCAGTTGGTGCTTCAAGAACCTCACTTGGTCCATATACCAAAGAACGGCGGCTTGGCTAGTTAGGTTCAAACAAGCAGAAAACTGTCCTTTCCATCTGGTAAGCAGTGGCACCTGCAGTGGGGAAATGGACACCACAAGGAGACAGGCAGAACATTAGCTAAATATTGTATGCAATTATTGAAATCAATACTTTCCTTGTGCTCTCTTATCAGTTGGGAGATTCGGTGAACTAGGATACCAGCTGAAATAATTTTACTACACCATATATGATAAAAAGTGATAAAAAGAACCTGGTGGATTAAGACCAGAGTTTAGAGGTGAGGGTATCTGATGCTAACTTGAGCTCAGTCTAATGGTTTAACAAACATTTCTGTGATCAGGAATTATTCTTATTAATTAGGTTTGCATATCTATCCAGTCAAGGTTATCCAGCAAGGTTTCATGGCCAAGCAGGGATTTGAACCCATGTCTCCTGAGTCATGTACAGTGTCACAAATTGTGCTCACTTAAAACATAACTTTCAGGTACCCACAAATTTTCTGATCCAAATACTGGCAAGACCATGTGGCTGGATATTATAATGTTTATATATATATATATTTTGCAGTATTAATGCTTCTGTTGTAGTGCTGATGCTTAAGCAGTAGATATAAGGACTTTCTGACCTAGAGTCAGAAATTACTTTCTAAACTTTTTTAAAAGTCTAGCAATAATATATAAAATGCTACATCTCCCATAAATATGTCTTATTGCGTTCATTGATATCATGGTCTCTTGAAAACGTATCAATAGCTTTACAAAAGCAAACATAAATACAAGCAAGCTAAATGTGTATACAGTGGGACCCCCCCCCCAAATTCTGCTGGATCAGCATCCACTAATTCAGCTATCCACTGCCTGAAAATATTAAATTAAAAAAGACATTCATGTATTGACCAGAACTAGACACTAGAGGGAGACAGAGATAATGCAAGTGTTCACTACTTCAACATTTGGGGGGGGGGGGCTTGGAAACAATCCCCCAGAGATACCACAGCCCTACTGCACTGTTAAAAAAAATTCTAACCACCAAAGCAAACTTTTAAAACATTTTAAAAAGCTGAAATAAAATGTGGAAATCAAAAATATTTTCTTGCAGGGTTTTGTATGTAAAGGACCAGGACAGAGGGAAGAAAGCGATAGGAACAGTTCAGAGCGACTCAGTTGTTAAGTCAGGTGAGTCCTTAAATGAAATAAAAAGGGAAAAAAGAAGGGGGAGATGAAATAAATAAATTCATGTCCCTGTAGACCTGCCTCTTGCCATAGCACCTTGGACTTGGATGCAGCTTTAGGCTTCAACTTGTCACTCTGCTGCTAGGCATGACTCCCTTGTAGGTATAATCCCCTTCCTTTTATTCTCCGGCTCAGTGCCTGCTTTGCATTAATTTCCCCATATTCCCTCAAATTCTTTCCCATCTCACGTATTCCACCCTTTCCCAGAATTGCTTCGCAAGAATAATTCATTATTTAAAATCCTTCTTGCATGGGGAGCTTACTCCTAGTCATGGACAAAAGGAGTTGTATGTACTACAGTCAGCCCCCCCCCCGCCCCTCCTGGGGAGGTATGGTTTGCCAGAAGGCACATCTCACCACCAGAGGCATATTTGGGGGTTCCTGGGCCACCCCAGACCTCCCCAAAGTCTCCAGTGGGAGGAAAAAGAAGAAGAGAAGATGACAAAAATGGGATAGTCTGTTTCGGAAAGTGTTGAGGAGCAGCTGCATCGTGTTAGGGCAAACAGGCACTCCATTCCAGAAAACTGTCCTCCACTGGATGGGGTTGGGTGAAAAAGAGCAGTGGGGGTGGCCTGCTCCCCTTCCTCCTGTGTTTATGTTGCTCTGTTTTAGAATGCCTGAGGCTCCTGCATTTAGCAATTCACACAAATTCTAGTGGGTTCATTCATCATTTGTACACTTCCTCTGCATTCTGGCTTAAATAAGATTCTTGTTCCTTGGTACAAACCAGGTATGAACCCAAGTACAGAGATTCTCACAGCCACATTCTGGGGAAAAAATATACTTTTTTGGATTATAGCTACCAGCATAGCAGCTAGGAGACAATAGTCTGAAAAAGTAACTTTTCCAAGCTCCATTAGAAGTGATTTGAACAAGCTTACACCACTATGAGTCATTTGAATGAGCACAGCGTACACTCAGTAGAAACACATAGCGACTTTTGGAAAATGAGTGAATCCTCCCTTTCATATCTCCATCCATCATCCACCTGTCCTCTCTCAACTTTCAGTGACTCTGGTGTCAACTGAACAGGAAAGAAAAATGGCTTACATTTTTTCCCCTTTACCATCACCTTCAAGTTCCTAAGCCTATCTGTGTAAAACTTTGCAGGTAACTTACCTGTCAGGTTTCTTGCCTCTATGAATGTTACAGTTTGCATACAAATTGCCAAAACAACAACAACAGAGGGGACAAGGGAAATGAATCACTCACACCCTCATGTGAGAACTCCTTTTCCAAACCTCTCTCCCACAAATGCTGCATATCCTTCTGGAATGTTGCAATTTTCTTCAGCCAGGCTGCCTCTATGCCATCTTGCCATTTTCGTAACAGCTGTTTACTAAAAACATAGGGTAGGGACTCATCCTCTTTCAGATGTTTTACAATACAATTGCTTTTACTGCTAACCATTGGCCATGTTGGGTGGGGCCAATAGAACACATCTTCCTGCTCTAATCAATACTGTATATTGTTACTTTTGAAGGTTACTATATAGATGCAGTTGATTAAAAAGGAGGAGTGTAAAGGGGAAAGGGCTGCCTGCCTTGTTTTATAGATGCCATGGAGATAAGCTGATGAGTTTTGAGAATCAGCAAACTTTGGAATCACTAATTTGTCTGTGAATGGCCCTCTTAACTTACAAGGGAAACAAGAGTCTTAAGACTCCTTAAAGGCTACGCCTTTATAATTGATATAACTTTTTTTGTGAACTGCAACTTTAGTGCTTCCCACAAAAGCCTATGCCAAATAGAATGTGTTCCTTTTTCAAGTGTCACAAGATTCTTTGTTGCTTCTAGAACAGCTTCCTCCCTAGAAATTAACATACAGGGGCTGCTCATGATTCATGAATGCTTGGCTCTAAAGGTTATGCTCCTGGACATCTCCATCGCAAATTCTCATGCACGAACGTGGCAGAATATTTTATAACTAGTGTGCCTTCTCAAAACAGAAGTGCTCTATGAATGATTGGTGATCATGAGCACTGAGACAATTTCATGACATTGTTAGATTTAATTTTTTTAAAAAATTGTCTGCTATATTACGCTGTTTAATAATACATAGTCTGATGGATACTTCTTTTCCAGAGACTGTTAAAGGTACAGCTATAGCAGTTAGAGAACCAGGACTATTGTTTAAGGAGAAGTCAATTTGCTCCACTGATTGAGAGGGCTCCACTAGGCCTTGTGACAATGTCCTTCTTCTAAAAACAGCCAGGGTGAGATTGGGAGCAAAGGAGAAACTGCTGCCCCACTTCTCTGATACATGCCCCTCTCTGGTTGTTTTATGTTTGTATGCTTCTTCTCCTTCTTGGGAACTGAACTAGGTTACGGCCACAGCACTGTGTGGAAGGATTAACCCATGGTGGATATTTTTTTTTAATTTTCTAAGGACAAACGTGTAACCAGAGCAAAGTGAGAGGATCGAAATAGAATTCTTACCAGTCTAGCCATGTTCCTACCACAAGCATTAAAGCATAGCTCAATTTCATGCATGTTTACTCAGGAATGAGTCTCATGCAGCAGCTTCCTGGGCTGTCAAGCCAAGCTGAGCACCATGTAACAGATTCTGTGGTTGCAAATCAGACTTCCGTTCCATATAACCACTTCTAAAGATCTTAAATAGCATGTTATTTACTGAAAGAGATACCAGTAGAAGGAGCTTGCACCCAGAGAGTGGCATCTCTAGGCTGCACATTGTCAAGGGCAGAGATTCTCCATTTTTAGGCTTCCCCTCCTGCTTTTCCTGCTGCTTCAGAGTTCCATCCGAATAATGGGATGGGTGCTGATTTTACAAGGATATAATGTTGGCAGAAGACCCAGTCAACCATCTCCTACCAAATTTGTAGTTAGCCTTTAGTAGAACACCAAGCCGTTCCTGTACCTACAGGCTCCTCCCACAACAGGAACCATCGGATGCAACTGGTCAGACAGAAGAGACAATATTAGGAACTTGTACCGAATAGCCACCGGATTCTGAGTGGTGGCTCAGCCAAAAATCCTCTCTTCCTTCTTGCAGGGACATCTGAAAAACTTGGGAGGTGATGCTTGCATATGGGGACAGAGTGATGGAAAGTTTGAGAGGTCTTATCAAGGAGTAGTCCATGGCACGTCTTAGGGCATGCAGACTTTTCCTTCTCTGTGTAGGCAAATAGTCGTGGTCCTGTAAAAATTCAGAAGAGAGAACAGCATTCAACAATATTTTTGGCATAGAAGGTGGGCTGCACTGCTTGAGAGATTTGACTAAAACAGTAAAAAAACTTCAGGTTGAGTGTGGAAAAAAGATATTCCAAATTATGAGTCCAAGAAAGCTTCGCCAATTTCCTGTATTGTACTTTAGCAGCAGCTCAGAACAGAGTATCCTCAAAAGGTGCATGGGGGTTCAGTGAAATGTGTACAGGCTCTTTATTACTGCTAGTGGTACAGCTAAAGGGGTTCTCAATGCTGTAATTAAGCTCAGTGAGTCTTAGGCTAGCCTTTCAGTCATCTGGCTGTCCTAGTCTCATCAATTCTACACCATTAGGTACTCTATTGTTGAATTTGTATTAGTGAAAGGAAACGGGGAAAGCCTCTAAGCAACAAGCAATACAATTTTGGAAAGGAGGTTCACAATAAATGTATTGCTCCAAAGGGTCCCGTGGGTATGAGGGTGCGCTGTGTTTTAGATTGTATTAGTAAGTATTTTGTATTCTTGTATTTGTTTTGGAAATTTAAAAAAATAATTTACAAAAAAAAGTAAATTGTCTCTGATTTAGACAACGAGTATACCCCTTGGATCAGTGGCTAAAACGACTTCCATAAGCTGCTTTCAGTTGAATTAGAATTTAAGGGGGGCTAGCTGTATAGTCATTTCAATAGCATAAAAGATGATCGCCTGTTGTGCTCAGTACTGTAACAGGCAACTTTATAGGGTCTTAACTAAATTATACATATACCATAAGAAGTCACCCCCCTCACTTTAATGAGGCTAACTCTGTGTGTAGAGAAAATAGGCAATGACATGAAATATTTAAAAAATTCATGCACTATAACATCCCTTCTCAGTATAGTACTGTTTAGATTTTTTTAGACTGCAACTTGACTCACTGCTGATCATTGGCCATTTGGATTGGGATTGTTAGGAGTGGTAGGAGAAGCATCTGTGGGAAGTGACCTTAGAACAATTCTAATAATGTTTGCATGTTATTTAAAAATATCTATACTGGGCAAGACTATGTGTATGACCATAAAACCTACATGTAAGTTTGCATACCTACAAAACCACCTCCACTTTCTTGTGTATCTTAGAACACTGGAGCACCTTTGCAGATCTTCATGTTACATCGCGGTGAACACCTGACTGTGTATCAACTAGCTGTGTCTGTTCAAAATACATGTTCAAAACCTGAAACTTTATTGTTTGTAAGTACGGTGATAAACAGCAAGCATGTATTTTAATTGTTATCACAGTGTTGGAAATAGTTTTGTACATGGAAAATAACCTTGTACATGGACTCATTGACCAAATATTTTAAAAAGAGATATTTAAAGTAATTTAATGCAGGATACTGAAATTAAAACTCATTCAGAAATTTACATGGTGCATGATAGCACTGGGATTTGCTTGTGCCTGCCATGAATATACATACCATGTTACAAAGTAGCATTGTGGAATGTTCATTGAGAATGATTAGCCCTTCCATGAGATGAGCCTGCAGGTCATCAGAGAAAGCACATAATCCTTGCTCCATTTTAGCAGCAGCATCTGCCACTCCAGAGTACCTCCAGACAGGCAACCTGCATTGTTATAGTTAACGACAGAATTCTTGCTTGAATTATCCTAACAGTCCGGTACTTCTCCAGTTCACAGATTTTCCAGGTTAAGAAAAAAACTATAAACACAATGTATCTTGGTTAAACTTGGACATCTAGTAAATTCCAAAAAAGATATATATCTAGAGATGACCTTTTTTTCTCCCTCCTAAAAGGCATGCAAAATCCCCTCTTTAATAAATATCCTGACTCCATAGTATAGAATTAAAGGATTGGGGCAGCTGATGGACCAAGCAGGGCAGTGGTGCTTCATCCCCTAATTTTTATGTGGGTAGGTCACCCTTTTGCTCTGGTCACAAACTAGTTATGATGAGAATTAATATTTGACAAAAATTGAACTAAAGGGATCATAACCAAATGATGCCTACAATAAGGGCATTTTCATGATGGTTACCACACATCTTAGCATTCTTTCTACTAATAGTGCCTATTAGGAAGCCATTGGTGGCATACAACTGGGCTGGGAGGAGGCATCCAGAATGTGGGGATGACACACTTCTTGCCCAGACTATGATCCGGCACTTCTGGACATGCAGAAGCATTTCCCCTTCTTGTTAACCTTTACCATCTGACAGGTATGAGAAGACTATGGTTATATATTTATTGACCAAACTTTGGGAGGCAATGGAAGACAGGAGGGCCTGGTGTGCTCTGGTCCATGGGGTCACAAGTCGGACACGACTAAATGACTAACAATAACAACATGGTTATATTGTGTGGCTAATATAATTAGCAGCTACTGGCCAATCAATTTTCCAGCTAAGGGAGCATCTTATCCTATTGACTATACTCTGCATAATTCTAGCTCAAACTGTCACCCAGTAGTAAATCACTATCACTGTTTCATCACTATTATTAGCAAAGAACTCTGCCTATTTAAAATCTTAAAAGATGATGCTGTTAAGGTGCTACACTCTTGCCAGCAAGTTTGGGAAATTCAGCAGTGGCCAGAGTATTGGAAAAGATCAGTTTACATCCCAATCTCAAAGAAGGGCAGTGCCAAAGAATGCTCCAACTACAGTGGGGTCTTGACTTAAGAACGGCTCGAGTTAAGAACATTTTGACTTAAGAACCACTCTCATAAGAAAATATTGACTTGACTTACATACTTAGATTTGAGTTAAGAACTGAAAAAAAACATGTGGGAGGCAGGGAAAGTGCAAAATTTGAACTTTCAGTTAACTGTTGGCCAGTGAAAAGGGTGCCTGTCTGCTTCCTCACTCCTCCCAGTGTTTAGAGAGTGGATTGGGAGACAGTCTTCGGACTGCCTGGTACTGTACTGCCTGTACTGTATTTTCCTTGCCTTCCCTGAACCTTTCTTGACCTAAGAAAAAAAGAAACAAAATATCCCCCTCTAGTGGTCAAAGGCGGAATAGCAGCTTCCCATTAGTTTCTATGGACGGAAAAGAGCAGATACAGATCAAATGGTTCTCAATGCATTCCTATGGGAAATGCAGATTTGACCTGAGAACTTTTTGACTTGAGAACCGCCTTCCAATACGGATTAAGTTCTCAAGTCAAGA